AACCATTGGTGGCAGCGCACCACCAGATGTTACAGACATCCCAAGTTCCAAAAACTCATTTCAGGGAGATGCTTATCGAACCGGTAACACCCCCCCAGTTACCCATAATTCTAATTTGTAGTGGAAAAAATAAAATACTCAAATACATCGTTGTTTTAAGATCTTTATTGCGGTTTGACACATATTATATAAGTGTGTCTTTTTACCAACCATCTAATTAACTGTACGCAGTTATTAAAAAGGTAATTAAAAGTACTACTGTCTGCTTTGCTATTGGTGTTGTGTTTAAACGGCTCACTATCATGTTGAAATTTGGCATGTGTTGCGGTATAAATACGGTCCAGGTGCGGTCAGTGACTTCAGTATCATGTGGGTTTAAGAGGAATGCATGTGCAAAGAGATATCCAAGTCTACAACTGAGTAGGGGGCCAACCAGGAGACAGTGATGGGGCCCCTAAGAAGTTGAGGGCCCGTAAGCAAATGCTGTCGCTGTTTATCGATATTTACACCATTGGATGCATAAAATCCTTACTATACAAAGAGGGAAATTGAGGGGATAAGTATGTTGTTAGCTTAAAAAGGTCAGGACAAACAATAGGCATTACATTTAGAAAAATATGTCTAAGCTTCATTGCATTACTCATCCTCATACAAACGAGCTGCGAAACTAGTCTAGAAAACTGAAAAGCCTCAGTGTCATACCCACTGGGCTGTGTGCACTTATGGCTTTGTTTCTGCTCTCTCCTCCTCTTAGATTAATTTAACTCTCGACCTAATGCCCATCAAACTTGATTAAAAGATTTAATAACTTCTTGGATTTTCATCTGTCATTTTTTAGCAGTTATTAGTTGTACATGGTAAACCAGACTAGACAAATAAATGTTTACCTAACTTTGCAAAAAGGCCATAGTTTAACCAAGAGTGTGAAATGTCATATTTAATGTTGCGCTTAAGACAGCATTGCCAATATCTAGAATAAGAACAGATAATCCATGGTGGTAAAGTCAGGTCCAATGTCCATCCATGTTGTTTGGTAGCATCACTGACTGAGTCTGTTAAATCCAATATATCCTGGAACAGTAACTTCTCATAACAATAGATATGAAATTGAGCATTTACACCATTAGAAAAATGTTATATTATGATGCAAAATCTGAACTAGTTTTTTAAAATAAAGGACTTGCATGTGGTGTTACTCAGTGGAAATCATATATTTGCATATCTGATGATCCTGAGTAAAGATACTGTAGGCCTATAGTGCAGATACGTGAATTTAGGATTATTGCAGTTCTATAATAGGGTCTGAAAACAAACAGAGTAACTAAGGTAACCAAAGGAAGTTCTTCTAATTTTTCCTATAATTATGTTTGAACCGTTGCTTCCGTTTTTTTTATTTTCTTTTTTTTTTCTACTGGGACGTACAACATCACATTTTTCTGCTAAGGAAAACTATAACATTATACTGATTTTTCTATATGAAGTTTTTTTATATCTGAACTTTCAAAATCCAAAAGTTGTTCTGCAAAGTAAACACACAAATACTCACCTGGTCTTTAAGCAGACAATTGCACAAACTGTTTGGTAATACACACATAGTTGAGAAGAAGATTCTATGACATCCTCTTTCACACAAGAAGGAAGTATAACGGCAACATCCCACTTTTACATTACAGCTGCTTTTAAACAGAGAATATAGTTATTAGAGCACGGGTGGCTGACTGAAGCTCATCAATCACCAGATTTAAAACATATTT